TTTTATGTAGTCTTATTTTTTAGCTAATTTATTATGGATATTTATATTTTTACTGTTTTTACTGTTTGATTTTAGTTGCGAGCTGCCCAGAGTCATCCTCTAGGGGAGATGGGCAACACATAAATTTAATAAATAAATACCTAAAAGAAAAAAAGGTACCTTTTCCACACAGATGATTTCTGAGAGTTATCATTTATTATAGTTCAAGGAAGAACTTCACAAGTTTTAACATGGTTGAGGGTAGAGATAAAGCAGTGCCAATTTCACCTCATCAAGGTTTCCATTTTTCTTTTTGAAATACATAATCCAGTTATTTCTTGAGAGAAACAATGCCTCTTCATCTTGCAACAAATAAGAAAAAGCTTATGAAGGAGGGGGATAATAATGTGTGAGCTGGTAAAGGGTGGCTGTTCTGTATCTTGCTGTTACTGGAGAAGAGCAACAATACCAATATATAAAGAGAAGATACAGTTTCTGTTTGTTCCTCACTGGGCTCACTATGAAACATTTCCTATATGGTTTTGCTTTTGTCTCTCTGGGGTATGCCTAACTATAAGTAATTCGGCCTTTCTTTTCTTTTGGAAAAAAATGATGTTACTGCTTTCTGACCATATTACAATAATGATTAAATACCTGATACCATTCATATGTGTATTTGACTAGCTGCTAAATGTAGTGATGTGCTGAATTTTAATATTCGAGTTCCTGATGAACTGGACAAGGGTTAGCCCTTTAATGTACATCCATACTACCAATGCCTGAGGTACCTCCCTGTATTATATGCATTAAGTTGTTTATTGTCTTTCACTGGACTATATTGTTAGTACTTTACCTAGCATTTTTGTGATAATTAAAAACAGGTTGGAACTGCTTGCATCTAATGTATTGAATTCTACTTCTAGGATATTCAATTGTTATCTTTTTTCTACATGCTAAGAACATGGATGTTCATTAAAAATGTATGAAAAATCTGTAGCTTTTTTAGCCCTCCCCTCAGGAATATGGTTGTTAATCATTGTGACCTTGCTGAGTCAAAGATTGCTTCAATAAGTGCCTACATAGTAGACTTTCATGTACTGCATATTTCAGAATATATAACCACATCTGGCTATCAGGATTGCATCTAATGAAATAACTCTTGGAACCTCTGGTTAAAGCGACTTATTGTAAGCTTTTGCTCAGTACTAGCTGATCTGAAGCATAGCCTCAAGAGATTGTTTGTCCTCTGAGAGAGTGGCCAATTATGTATGGGCCTGCCTTACAAAAAGGTTGTTGATTGCCTAGAGAAGTAATAATGCATGCAGATAAAATGTTTGCAGTTTCTTCCCTGAATCTGGAGCTCAGAGATTCTACTAGAGACTAATGTGTTTGCCACAATAGGACTAATCAAATCCAATATAATGGAACATATAAGGGCATCATTTGTTCCTTTTGAGACAGCCAGCACCACTGAATTGCAGGCTTATGCTAAAAATCTAATTAAAGATCGTATCTGCACCTGGGTGGAGTGACAGAAGACTAAAGACAAAAGTAAGGAAGAAGCTGGGCAACATATCACTGTTAACATGATAGCAGAACAGAAATAATAGACCAGATTCTTGTGGCATCTGTTTAACACATTTATGAAGTCAGCTATGGTCAAGGATTATAGATACAACTTCATTTGCCATCTGAAATATTATTCTGCCTAAGGAGAATGTGCTTATGGCGGGAAAAATAGTAAACAGTAGATTTAAGAGAAATGAAATGCAGAAGATGCAGACAGTGCAGAATTCTGGGGCAATGGGTATAAGAAATCAAAGACCTATGTTATAATCTTACAGTTTAAGCAAAATATTTAAATGCACGTATACTTAATTTAATGACTCTTGTTAATGGGTGTAAGATTGCTTTATGAAGGATAATTCTGTCTAGGGCAATTAATCATGTTGATTTTTACCAGGTAAACCCGAGTTCTTGTATTGTGAGAAAGGCTATTCTTTTTTGCTAGCTTCATCTATTTAATAGTGCAGAAAAAAAAAGGAAATTGGATACAATGAAATCCATATGAATCAAACACCTATAGCATTAAACAGCTTTTATGCACATTTGAATCTGCTTAAACCCATTGACTTCAGTGGGTTTTAGTATGCATAACTGGACATAACAGTATGCTGCCCAACATTGTAATGATTATTTGTTTATCTTCCTAAAACTTGTGTGGAATTTCTTCTAGGTCAATATTAGGTTTCCTCTCTTTAATCTGCTACTTTGGGATGTCTGCCTCATATTCATAGATATGCTACTAGCACTCTCATTGATGAATTATCAATCAGACACTTGAAAAATCAAAATCTGATTACTGTCTGAAATTGAAAGTCTGAAATTGGAAAAGGTGGGGAATTCTCTCACTTCACTGTGTGCAACCTGCATCAATTCCCCAATAAATCCCCTCAGAAGATTAAAATGAATAACATGGATAACATATATTGTGCATGCATATATGGAATCAAGATTTTTTAATAAACTTCATAACGTCCCTATCTTCTTTCAGGTACTAATTGTAATGCTTTCTGTGTCATACATCTAAAGAAAGGATGTTATAGTATAAGCATGACCTTATAACTTTTTCCCCTAAATATTTGACAGGTTATTAAATGCTGGCTTGTAAGCAAACAAGTAAATGTTCTTTAATTTTTCCTTTATTTATTTATTTTTAAGAAATACAAGCCTGGACGATGTGATGACATTTTGAAATGGAAGCCACCCAGTCTAAATTCAGTAGATTTTCGTCTAAAAATAGCAAGAGTTGCTGGAGAAGGGTATGTAAACTCATCTACTACATCTTGGAAATATATAACTTTATGTTAAAAATCACATGTCACAGCCTAGAGAGCTTATTACCAGAAATAAGCTATTGGGAAAAAGAAAAATGGTACAGGCAAATTGATTAGCGTAAGAAGGGATTTATCAGACAAGGTGACCATTCTGGGTTCAGAAGCCCAGACCTAACACAGGAACAATAGGTGAAGGCAATTGCTTGAGGAGGAAGCTCAAAAGAAATAAAAAGGCTGAGCAGAAAGTGACTCTGGGGAAGAAATTCACATGGGATCTCACTTTTCCCTTTTTTCATATATATATAGAATTGCTTTAAAATATGCTGTTGCCTGGTAGGAAGCAGATGGATAAACTGTTATGAAGCCCATAAAATCTCCAACATAAAGAGATGAAGAATATTGAACTCAACTCTAGATACTGATGTAAAATAACTACGTAAATTTTCATTTGCTTAATTTTTATTTTCATTTGTACCCTGCCTTTCTACTCCTAGAACTTTCAGAGCATCTATTAATATGAAATGAAAGATACAGGTAGTCCTCAGGTTTCAATGGCAATTGGGACCAGAATTTCCGTCGTAAAGTGATGTGGTTGTAAAGCACGACATCACGTGACCTCATCACTTAGTGATGGCAGTCCCAGTTGTTAAGTGGGAAGAGATGGGAATCCCAAGCAAGCAGGCTGGCAGGTGTGTTGGCAGGTGCTATGGAATGCAGGTGGGCAAAAAAGCGGTGGGGGCTGGAGCGCCTTCCAACTTCCTGCCAGCTTCCCACTGACTTTGCTTGTGGGAAGCTGGTAGGGAACGTTGAAAATCATGATCACATGACCATGGCTCGCTGCCACATTGTAATCACAAGTGCCTGGATCGTGACTGCAGGGATGCTGCAATGGCCAGAACTCTGAGGACCAGTCATAACTCCCCCTTGTTCAGTTTTGTAGTAACTTTAAATGGTTGCTGAATGAGTGGTCGTAACCTGAAGACTACCTGCATTTGCAAACTGCTTAAAAATACCTAAAATGCAGTAGATAAATCATCCAAAAAACTCCCTTATAATGCTTGAATATAAATCTGTAAACAATTATTTGTTCTGTTTTCTTCTTTTAATTTTGGATTTCTTTTTATCAGACTTATAGATCTGTTGAAATAATCTACCAGATGTTGTACAGAAAGTATAGCATTCAGTTCACCGAACTGCATCTAGTAGCAAATGATTCCCCTTCCCTCTCTCAAATCTGCTCTGGAAAATCCCATTATGTGAGCAAAAGTATATAATTTGTATTATATATATTTATCTGGGATCATGACCAAATCTTACTATTGAAAAATAGAGGGTTAAATACAGTCTCCCTAAACATTTTTGTTGCTCCTGCTGGAGAGCTGTTCCATGTTGCATGTTAACTAGCATCATCACTATGCTCTAAAGGCAACTTAATGACTGCAGTATCAGTTTATGAACTGGGCATTAATCAAGCTAATATAAATGCCTGTGGCCCAGACTTTCACATTTACAGTAGTTATTTCAACGATTTTGAAATTGAAATTTCATCAAAGAGAGGTATGCTTGAAAAGTATTACAAATCATTGCCACCTTAGATATAATTCCTATATTGTCTTATAGGTGTATTTCCCCAAAGAGCTTCAGATGGGACAGTTTGCATTGGCCAATTGATAGGGAGTTTTAGAAGGTTTTAGCATTTTCCCCAGTTACTCATGCTTTAACAATACAATGCTATGCAGATTCTTCCTGCTTGCTATGAAAAGTATGAATGGCTGTAGGTATTCAATATTTTTAACAGTTTTACTCCTGTTTTGTAAATGACACACTGTTGAGGAAACATTGTTATGCTATAGAATCATCTTTATATATGATATTTTCAAAGAATGAGAGAAGACACATTTATGCTAAGGAGACTATAGTTTAAAAGTAAGCATGAAGGAGACAGAGGAAGGGGAGTGAATCTACTGATGACAAAAGGAATCTGCATGGTGCAATGTTTTTCTTACATTGCAAAGGTTTTTTTGGAAGAGGAAGTTGAGACTTTGCGGAACTCTTCATTTGGAATAAGAACATTTTTTTTTGTATAATGGTTTTAAAATGGAACCATGTCAAAAGATCAAAAAAGCAGAAATCTGTACCTTTTGATAACAGGAATGTTAAAGGTTGGGAAAACGGCAGGAATTTTCCAGACACAGAAACACACACAGTTCTCTAAATGACAATGATATTTATTTAGTGTTACAATGCTTTTCTAGTAAATAAATTGTGCTTATTATCGCTCTCTTTTTATCCCTCTCCATTTGCTTAACAAATTGTACAAACATTTCTATACAGACTTTTCTTTACAGAGCTTTTTACAGTTTCTTAATTGTCTTACTCCCTTCCTCTTTGAGTCATGTAAGTATTTCTTATCACAGCCTTGATATGCTCACTCTTTTACACAGCTTCAGTATTTTTACTTCTTGGACTTGCTTTAAGCCTAGAGAAGAGAATGGAAAAAAGGGAAAATAACTCTTTCCTCAGCTTTTTGGAATTCCAGTACCTTTGTCAAAGTCCTCGCTGACTTCTGGTCTGTCCTTGCAAATACTGCTGTCCTTTTCTCCAGCCAGTCCACCCTGCCAGTTGCTCTTTCTGATCCTTCTTGCTCTTGCTAAGTCCTCACCTTTAGTTTCCTCCTCTGACTATTCCTTGACTCATACAGCACAAACACAACCTCCTCCTAACAGTTCTGCCAATTTTATATATTTTCCCCAAAAGGCAGACGTCCCTTCTGTCAGGTGTATTAATTAGGCAGGAAGCTTCTAGGTGTCTATGTGATACTTTTTTATTTTATTTATATATCAAATTGGTCACCACCCATCTCATTAAAAAGCGACTCTGGGTGGTTTACAGAAGAAATAAAATAAATTAAAATACAATATAAAACCATCTTAAATAATAAATAAATAAACCTTTGCATAGAGCTGGCAAATAGACAAAATCCTTTAACCTTGAGACCAATTTCAACTCTGACCCGAGCAGGACATCTCATCTTGCCACAAGGCAATCTTCTGTCAACTGAACATTAAATTGTGCTTGATATTACTTTGCAGTTGGTAGTACTGTATTGTCAATTAATGGAAGAAAACCCAGTAGAGGCTTGGCATTTCTAAAGTTTTGGCTGAACAATATCCTTTGTAGAATATATAGATCAAACTGGACTCCAGGACAATGATTTCTATTAGCAGGTGCTAACTTCAGTCACATACCTTACATATAATTTTGGATTCCCAACTCCAATATTTAGAAAATACAAATTGCCCCAACTTATTAAAAACATACAAAAACCTTGTCAGTAGTTTAATCTTGAGTGTAGGTCAGATAAATAAGAAAAAGAGTAATTTGAAATTTACTAAATGGCTTACAGGACTTAGATGGTGTAGACCAGTGTTTCTCAACCTTAGGAACTTTAAGATGTGTGGACTTCAACTCCCAGAAATCCCCAG